TGGGACGGCACGGCTGGAGAGGCCTGAAGAGTATGAAGAAACAGAAGCACGGCTTCCCCCCACCCGGCTTCGTCTGATTTTACCTCACTGTCGGCCTTTGCCGTCTTGGCCGCGCGTTGTTGGGCCCTAACTCTTCCCCGATCTCCCCCCCTACCCCTCCCCTAATTCGCCACCTCTGTCACGGAACTCAGCATGACAATGCCAACATGCAGCTATCTCACCCTTGACTCTGCACTCAGTCTCCGCACTTGCTTGCTGACAGCTGGCGTTGAATACAAACCCCTATCGGGGTCTCTGCCGTGCCCTCTAGCCAGGAGCAGCCGAGGCGGGCGGCGTAGCGTTAAAATTGGAACAGGGTTTCGGGGTGGTGGAGCAGACTGAACGTCTAGGTGAGCAAAGAAAAGCAGAGTGTCTGGTGCACCTTCTTGAATAAAGACCCTCAGAGCAAATTAAGCTCTAAGTTTGTCAATGATGCGACTAACTGATTGAATTATGGTACCGAATTCCTGGTGCCACTGATTCAGAGTAGCTACAGGAACGCCACGTGGAGTGGGGCATCTACGGGCAAGAATAGGGTTTCGGGGTATTTTTTGCCGGGGTATATAATGCTATATTTATAAATAAGGAACCCCCAAAATAATAGGGGTAATTATCAAAGCCCCCTTTTTTACTTAAAGTTGCAGACTGTACTCGCGAAGACGTTGACAAGACTCGCCGGCGCTTCACCTAGTAGGATTTAGTTTGGGCTGCATAGCTGTTGTCGGGGTGCAGGCTGGTTTCGCCCAATGCCTTTTCCTTGGCTGGCACCGGCTGTCGACACACAAGTAATGTACCCTCGAGCGAAGGCATGAAACAACATGCGAGCTTGCTCTCGTCTCACTTCCAAATCTGAACGGCATCCTGCGTGAAGCAGAAAGACGAGGCAAACGAAGACTGATCCAGGGCATCGTTAGAACCCTTGGCATGTGCTGATGTCCGCAGTCTCCACCGCCTTAAAGAATTCCTCAAACTTCAGCTCTCCATTCTGCTTGTTCTTGCAAGCATGACACTTGACCCAGCTGTATCGGCCGCCAAAAAGCTTTGCGAGAGAACAGGTCTCGCCGGGAGAACCTGGCAAAGCCGGCAGAACCCTGAAGACCCATAGGGTCATAAGGCTTAGCTAGATGTTTGGGTCAAGACTTTAGGCTGAGTGGACAACAAGTTCGACAACTTCGACCTATCGGCACGATCTCCACGATTCGCTGGTGCAGCGCCTCGTTCAGCCAGCGCGCCGCATTCCACAAGCCGCCGCCGTGCGCTGCAATGATGGTGCTCGCCGCACGTATCAGGAACACTTGGTCGAGGTAGGGAATGGTTCCCGCGTTCACGTATAGAATAGTAGTATTTGCGTAACGCTTCGACAATTCGGTTGCAAGCTCCAGGCCGTTCGAGACGCCACGATTTTGACGATTCCGGCATTTGCTGGTCAACCGGGCAGGCCCATAGCAGTCCTGATCGACGCGCGAAATCCACAGGTAGAAGTTGCTGTGCCTTGCATCGATCTTGCAAGCCTCTCCGTTCAGAAGGTGCAACGAATATTCAGCCGAGAGTTTCTCCAGGAAGTTGCAGGCATCACCATATCGATCCAGGTTGCTCCTCCATGTAGACTCGAAGAAGGGCAACGCAGCCTTAATTGCTCTTCCAGGGGGCTCGACACACGATTGGCCTCGTGAAGGAAGCAACACAGAGACAGTCCAATTCAACAGCGGCGGCAACCATGATACTCATGATATTCGTCATGCGACTCGTCATTACAAACCTAGAGACACGAAAGACCCTAAACCCTTTACACAGGCTTGATCGGAGCTCGGCCGGCCAATGTCCCTGAACCCTAAAGCCTAAAGCCTGCACAGCTTGTTCTCAAGCTTAAGCTCGCCCAGGCCGCCATTTGATGCGCCAGAAGCAAAGGGGACCGGCCTAAGCAGGAGCTGCCTTTCAAGCTGGTCCAGTGAGGCCCCGTCATTCCGGTAGGCCCAGATACCAGGTACCTGGGAGTTTCCGAAAATTTAGGGGTACCTTATTTTGGGGTCCTTATAATAAGGATCCTACTATTTAGGGTACTATATTAGGGTCCCCTATTTTCGGAAACCCCCACCTCACAAGCTGCACATACGGCTCCGCCTTCACCTTCAAGGAAGGAAAACCTGCAGAGTAGGAGGCAGTAACGATCTCGGCGGACAGTGCCTGCCAGTCTTCGTAGAAATGGGGCAAGCGTTCTGCCTGAGCCGAATATCTCGATCTGCCAA